TCAGCTTTCCTGCTCCCCTGATGCTGCTTGGCCTGCTGTGTTCATCCAGGTCTCCCTATAGACTTGGCTGCGGTCCTTCTTCTTGATCAGGCTTCCATTGACTGTCAGAGGGTCCTCTACAGTCAAAGACTACTCCTGCTGGAAGACCAACTCTTGCTCTTGCAATCACCACCCCTCTTATCAGTGCCTGGCTGATTGTTTCCAGCAAGCTCCGACCCCACTGAGCTGCATTCTACGCCTGTTCCATTCAGGTTGTTCTGGGACAGCTGCAGAAGTATTGCTGTCAATGAAGAGCTGCTCTATGATTGACCTGTAGCTGTTGGAGGTGGGACAACCTGCCTTAAAGGGAGAGAGAGTCCATGACTGCAGGTGGTTGCTAGTCTGAGGATCATAAAACAAACCATTGCTTCCGGAGCAGTGGATTTGGATTGCTCCTGACTTTCCTGTCAGGGTGTTGGGGTACTCCACTTCAACTTGGTTTCATATCAATTATTAAAACAAATTTAGGAAGTTCTTTCACATCTCTCCAAGTGCATGGCATAGATTTCCATGCAGGAAACTGGAAGCAAAAACCCTGGAATCATCAGTTGAATAATTGGACGCTGGGATGGGAGTCTTGCAGGAATCTTGTGGGACACACGAGTTGGCTTGCACAGCTTGGAGTTTCCTCTCTTGGAATCTTCTTATGCACTGTATTGGACTGCTGTTGCAGTGATGCGCTGCTCTCTGCTGCAATGAAGTGTCAGTCTCAGATTTGGAGCCTCAAACCAAAGACGAATCTGATTTTGGCTGACACTCCAGTGCAGTACTGAGGGATTGCAGCAGAGTGGGGGGTAGCAGTCTTTACCCATGAGGTCTCTTGTCTTCCATTCCACCACCAATGCCACTCTTACAGGATAGCTAGCCGTTTGTTTCAGTGTTATTTGTGGGATCTCACTGTGCATAAAATAGCTGCCTCATTTGACTTCATAAAAACAGTGCCTGTACTGTTCAATATTTTTTGGTGAAGTTGTTTGGAACATTCTGAGCTGCGAAATGCCCATGCCCCTTCATTCCATGTATACAAAAATGCAATTAATTGTCAAATGGCAATCTTCATTTAAAATAGAAACATAGAAAATGAAAGCAGGAATAGGCCTTTTGGCCTTTGAATCTGCTTCATCATTCATTATGATCATGGCTGATCATCTAACTCAGTCCTTGCTTTCTCCCCATATCCTTTGATCCCAAATTATATTGGAGTTTTGAAACTGTGAGCTTCTGTTTGTTGAATAAAATTGGGCTTCAGTGAAAAGGATTGAACAAAACAGTTATTTTTCTTATTTCACAAGGGAGTTATACATCGAGATTTGAAGCCTGGAAACATATTTATTGACCAAGATGGGAGTGTGAAAATTGGAGATTTTGGTTTGTCTAGATTCTGTACATCTCAGGTAATGCGTCTTGGTATATTTACATATTTCAACTTAACTTCCATATGATGAAACTTTTCTGATGTGTTCTTTTTAGATATTGAGGAACCTTTACAGTACATTTTGCCATTATAGTTAAACATATTGCTCTAGAATCATAAGCAGTGTAAAACAAACCATGCTACATTGGTGCAGTGCTTGACATTGTTTTGCAAGTTGGACTAGCACAGCAGCCATTGTGCATCATATAATTTTAGCAACGCAAACTTAACAGAATCGAATTATCTTTTGTTGTTCAGCTTTTACTGTTTGAAAGAGCTGACTGGAAATTTCCAGTCAGTTGGAAGCCAATTATCTGTGGAACAACATGCTCTATCATTAAAAAATGATGCAGTTAAACAATATAACTGAGACTATCTGTGCTTATCCTTGTAAGAATGTAATCCTTGTTACACTGCTGCTGTAGTGTTATGGAGGTATTGCACTCCACTGTCATGTAGTGAAGTCTATCCACTAGCTAGTACAAATGTTTACCATCTGAAGTTTAATCATGGTGGCTCAGTGGTTAGCACTGCTGCCTCACAGCACCAGGGACCTGGGTTCCATTCCACCCTCAGGTGACTGTCTGTATGGAGTTTACACATTCTCCCTGTGTCTGCATGGGTTTTGTCCCACAGTCCAAAGATGTGCAGGCTAGGTGGATTGGCCATGCTAAATTGCCCGTAGTGTTCAGGGATGTGTAGATTAGGTGGGTTATAGGGGGATGGCTCTGGGTGGGATGCTCTGAGGGTTGGTGTGGACTTGTTGGGCCGAAGGGCCTGTTTCCACACTGCAGGGATTCTATGATTCTATGAAAACCTTTACCACTAAACTGGTAAATATATGACAAAACAGGGAAATTGAGTCAAGGAAAGCTTGCTTATTTAAGTGAAACTTTCTTCGTGTAAGGATGCATTTTTTGATTAGAGTGCATTGTTTTCCACATTTCAGAGATGTGCAGAACACAAAGCTTTCACCTATGTAAACAAAATAGATCAACAAATGGAGCTCAGTGCAGGTGATGTGAAAATTTTGCTGCAGTCTTTATATTTGCCAAACTAACTGCTTTCCAGAGATTGTGCACAAAACAACCTTGGAAATGTATAGTTATAGATTAGATGCTGTGTGTACACCAAAAGGTCATGACTTCATTTGTAGAAAGTTAACTTTGATGAATGCTGTAAAGTCTGATGTACAAGGAACACTGGTGCACTTTGGAGCTGAAAATCAACAAGGGAAAAGATGACTAATTCGATATAAAGTAGTAACATTTTGTTTTCACTTGTATATTACCTTTCGGACAAGACAGCTAGCTTTAAGGAAAAAGATATTATGTTTTCAATAGCTTTTAGTTTTCACATGCAATGTAAAATTTTGAATGCTTGGATTTTAAAAAAAGAAATTTATGGGTTATGATTCATTCAATTTATTATGTTTAAAAGATACTTTAAATACCGTACATTCCAAATGTGGGCATGTTCTTCGAACTAGAAGCTAGCTCACCTTTTTCAATCCTTTAACAGTGTCACTTCCTGTTTTAGACAGTGGGAAACTCACAGCAAACATTGGGACTTACGGATACCTGGCTCCAGAAGTTAAAACAAACCATCACAAGGCCACGTACGACTCTGTATGTACTTGCTGCATTATTTCATGGACATGTTCTGTTTCAGTGTCACAAAGGGTACTGAAGTCAAAGTCTCAGTCTTGATGGGCCGATTTAGAAATCTTTAGTTGTTTCACTTTCTGAGTTGTGCAAGGTTTTGATTAGGCAGGGAGACAGTACTAGAACACAGACTCATCTGACATGATTACGTCCACACACTCTTTTATACTCTGCCCAATCATACACCCACTTTACTGGGAAAAATAATAAGGCGGGTTGTTAATGGACAGCTGATATGATACCACCAGTTTCCTGCTTAAAGTTACCGCTGATATTTCAAACTTGTGCCAACTTTTTGATATCTATGACCCTGTCCCTATTATCCATGCTCCAGTTGTCTGCTTTTCCCTATTATCCATCAGAAATTTTTCCTCCTGAACCTTGAAAAAGGTAGCATCTCAGGTCATCGCTTTCCAACAGTATTCTCCTGTTGCTGGTTGAGAGCTTGCTCTGCATAGTCGGTTAGACCAACATCACTGTTGCAAGGTTAGCATTGCATGCCTTATGGTGAATAGAATGCTTGCTGAGTTCCCACCCTGCTCTTCCACTGCCATAATTTGTTGTATTCATGACTTGATCAGATTTTGATGCTCAGTATTGACATTCGTGCTGCACTGAGCCTTAGAAATGAATGTGAAGCTGATGTGGTTTTCCTCTCTGTAGAAGGCTGATATGTACAGCTTTGGAATGGTAATACTGGACATGCTGTTTCAGTGTACAGCACAGGAACGTCAGAAGTGGAGAGATTGGATCAGACAATGTGTAAGAAATTTACTATACCCTAAGTGACCAAACTATTCTTGTAAACTAAAGATGTTTAATTTTCCATTTCCATTGGATTGGTTCTGACCTCCAGTTGCACCATTTGTCTTGCATGTTAATCTTTTATGGTGCATCATGTACCGTAGATGCTTGTGTTTTTTTAAGATAAAACCATAAAGACAAAAGTGAATTAAATCTTTATTATTGGAATTACAGACTTCATTTTTTGAAAGCACTTTTCAATATATTTTTGATTGCTCCATTATTTCGCAGCATTCACAGAACTACTCACATGAACTTAATGTTGACAAAGCGAAGACCTTACTTCTGCATCCAGAATTCTTGAGCTTGGTGAGTTCCTGAGCCACTTAAGGTTCATTTTGGACAATTCATGCCCTTTCAAGTGAGTGAGTGATGGCATTGTACAAAGAAGGAAGGAAGGGTGCTCATTCTGACCTGACCAACATTTATTCCTTAAAAACATTCAAAAAAATGATGCATTGCAATTGGCAAACTTCAAGCCTTTCGCTTAATTTTAGTTATAAGTACGTTTTTTTTCAAGGGTTCTTAGAGGTGCTATATGACCATACGCAGGCTGTCAGCATCAAAAAAGCTTTGCCTCGCTAACCTGAGAGATTTTTAAGGATTGCTAGCTTGATAATTATCAACTGGGCTTCATAAATTGTGAGCTTTGATTTTCAATAGGCCCTTGCCAAGATGTGACACAGTAGATTACTTACGAAGACTAAGTCTCTTAGAACAGAGGGTATTTGTTGAATTGGATGAAGAATTGGATGTGTGCTGATGGATGTTTATTACCAATGGTACTGCTTCAACTCTAACTGCACACCTCTTCAAATACTGCCAGCCATGAAATGCTCCTCATAGTCTATTGCTGCATCAGTTTTGTGAATGTGATGTCCCAGAAGGGGAAAGTATCACCCAGCTTTCACCAAAAGGGACCAGGAGATGCTGGTGGTTGAGGTAAGTGCTGAGGAGGAACAGACTCTTTTTCTTTGTGGACTGGCAGAAGAAGCAGCAGTGCCATGCACATCCAGTTGGGACCCAGTTAGCAGCCGGGATCAATACTGTCTTGTGGACCAAGAACAATGTACTGTAGCGCCAAGAGAATATTAATGCAGCCCAAATGTTCGAGGCCAACAGGATCCGCTATAGAGCAGGTCCCAACCAGCCCAACTTCAGACCCTGGGAATGCACATAGATATAGTGGGGCGCAAGGGAAAAATAATGCTCTGAGGGCACATACATTGCAACACAGCAGTGAAAATACACCTCCACATCTGTAAATATTTTGCAGTTCCAACTATTACATGTCTGATTGACTGATTGTCATTTTAGCTGTATACCTGTTTATATGGCTACCAGGTCAGAGTTAATTAGCATCCTCACACAACACAGAGAGGATAGGAGTTATACAGGCAAGGCATTTATCTTCTCGGAGAAGCAGCGGATGTTAAGGATCCTTCAACCGTAAAATACAGCCAAGATTTGGCACTCTAGAATGGAGATCATTGAGGACTAAAGAAAAGTGAATGTCTGGTAATAGGTCCTTGGCCCCATTCAAGTTCCTCGCTTACAGTCACCTTGTGGGTATGACTGAGTGATCATTTATCAGTGCACACTTCTTTAGAGTTGAAAGTTCATTCTGTCTGTGTGTCTAACAGAGGAGTGTGCATTTATTCAAGAATGGGTGATGACCGATTTTCAACTACCATCCAGGTTTGGCCTTATGGCACAAACCTGTCTACTCCACCCTACAGGCCAAGAGACAATGGTGATTATTGTTCCCATTGTGAATGTGTTGCCAGCTGTTTTTACACTCATGTTGCACACTGCTGCTTTGGTGAGAGATGGCATCCAAGTTGTCCTGCTGCGGGTGAGTTCTAGGTTCCTCCCAATTAGTCAAGACACTGCCCACCCTTCATGTACCCCTTTCTGTTGCTGTCCCTGCCAACCCCCATCTCTGTTCAGACTCCCTATGTTCCCGTCCAGCCTTTTATTCAAAGGGTCAATACCTTCAATTCTCCCCCTCAGCCGCTGGTTTACCTCAATTTGTGCACACTATCGCTGTCTGCTGCCCTCCCCCATTGAGACAAGGCTGATAGTGACGTACAAAATATCCTACTCACACTCCCCCCTGCCCCTCCAGGCCCTCAGCCATACCCATGCCCTTCCATGTTGTACTTTTTGTATCTGAAGTTGTCCCAGTTCACTGTCGTTAGCCCCTCAGCACCACAGCTTAGTGCAGTCCGTCCCCATCTCGATTTTCCTATTCTTAAGTTCGCTGACTCATTAGACTTGCGCAGTACAGCACCTCATAAATTTTTATATTTAGTCAGTCATAATTTGAAGTGATACAATTAGCTTTATTTTAACCTAGAATATAGTAAATACTCTTCTATAGAGCTCTGAAACTTGGATTACGTATAGACACCACCCCAAGTCCCTTGAAAAGTACCGTCAATGCTGTTGGAGATGCATTTCCAGCATCAGCTGGGAGGACAGCTGGACTAACTTCAGCTGGGAGGACAGGCGCACTAACATCAGCTGGGAGCACAGGCGCACTAGCATCAGCTGGGAGGACAGGCGCACTAGCATCAGCTGGGAGGACAGGCGCGCTAACCTCAGCTGGGAGGACAGGCGCGCTAACCTCAGCTGGGAGGACAGGCACGCTAACCTCAGCTGGGAGAACAGGTGCAGTAACCTCAGCTGGGAGGACAGGTGCACTAAAATCAGCTGGGAGGACAGGCGAACTAACATCAGCTGGGAGGACAGGCGTACTAACCTCAACTGGGAGGACAGGCGTACTAACCTCAGCTGGGAGGACAGGCGTACTAACCTCAGCTGGGGGGACAGGAGCACTAACATCAGCTGGGGGGACAGGCGCAGTAACATCAGCTGGGAGGACAGGCGCAGTAACATCA